CTCCTCTCGATGTTCCCCTCCCATGCAATTATCTTTTTCTATCCATCATTCACATCATCTCGTTACCCCCACCCCCAGAGTGCTCTCTCTCTCTCTCTCTCTCTAACCCTCTTCATTTCTTCAGTTTTTTTCTATACTTATATTGTATGTATTTGTTTATAAAAAAAACTGATTTAAGTATTAAATATTCTAACAAAGCAGAAATTAATTATTTATTTCGACAAAAGTTTATTGTTATTTCTTGTACGTAATTGTGATAAATGATTATTAATGAAAAGAAAATGAAGGCAATAGGTAGGAGATTTTGAATAAGGGATTAGTGTGGGTGGGATGATTTACTAACCACACTCCTATTCAGTGTTTTAAAAGGCAGGGGCGTGAGGCGTATCAAAAACGTTTTTGGGGAGAGTCTCAGGGCGGAGCGTATCAAAAACGCTCCGGGGTGCAAATTGAAGACGTAGATTCATGAGGCGTAAGACCTAGAATTTGGGACGTAAGCCCCGAGTAAAAAACGCAAGTCCTGGGCATAAAAGCGTACGCCCCGGGTGTTTTTACTTTTTTAAACCTCTTTTGCTTTAAATCATATTTTTTATTATTGGTGTAATGATATTTCTCAAATAATAATTGTAATATTTTTTTTCACTATTGATTATTAATACCTATCTCAAATAAAATCATAATATTTTTTCTATATATTATAGGTTATTTATAAAAAATTATTTGTAAAATCATTGAGAGTTTCACTTTTGCTTAATTTCTTAGTAAAAAAATTATAAAATCGAATATATACATGAGGCTACGCCCCGTAGATCCATGAGACTTATGCCTCGTGTCTCGGGACTTACGTCTCGCCCCATACGGCATAAAGCCTGGCTTCACGCCATCGCCTTTTAAAATACTGATTTGACATAATAAATACTCCTATAAACATGTAATATTACTAATACACTGAACACTATTCTTAACAATTCCAGCCACATGAATTCAAATATGGCTGTGTAAAACAATTGCAAATAATATTTTTTTCCCAACTTATGCATCTAAACTAATTTTTTTATTTTTTTTTTAAAAAAGGAAGGCACATCTTCCTCCTCCCAATGTTCCCCTCCCATGCAATTATCTTTTTTCTATCCACCATTCACATCATCTCGTTAACCCTCTTCATTTCTTCAGCCTTTTTCTTTACTTATAGGGTGGTTTGGTTTGAATATGAGTTATGATGGATAAGTTATATTGAGATTAGTTATGATGGGATAAGTTATGTTGAGGTTATTTCTTATTGAGTGTTTGGTTTGTTGTATTCAAAATAATATACATTGCACAAATCTTAATTAAGAACAAGTTGTTTGTTTACAAAATTACCCTTCACTTTATTTAGTTTTTTTATATTTTGTTTGCAAACTTTAGTTATTCAATATTTTTGAAAATAAAACTTTCATTTTATTTAGCTTAAATATTTTTGTTTATGTATTCTCATGATAAGTACCATATATATTTTAAAATATTTTTTTACTTATTTAGCTTAAAATAGAATTTTCCTCTTAAGTTAGTTAAAGTGAAAGAAGATTTATGAGAAATCAAAATATATATAAACATAGAAATTAGTCAAATAAATTCAAAAATAAAATTATATTTATATAGTGTAATCTTTTAATAGAAAAATATGAATAATTATCATAAAAATAAGGAGTAGTGAATATTATTATACATGGTATTAAAAATAATAAATACACATAAATATGAAAAATGATGTATAAAAAAGGGATAAGGGTCTGAAGAATATCTCAACTTTGGTTGGATTTGCTGTTGCGATACTAAACTTTCATGAGGACCTATTACCTCCCTAGACTATTTAATACCGTATTTTTTACCCCATGAACTATTTAATAATATATTTTAAAGGTATATATGTGCACACGTGGACATATTACTATTTATAATTTTGTATTATTTTTTATGTCCACGTGGGCAAAAATATATGTTTAAAATACGGTATTAAATAGTCTAGGGAGGTAATAGGTCCTCATGAAAGTTTAGTATCGCAACAGCAAATCCAACCAAAGTTGGGTATTTTTCAGACTCTTATCCCTATAAAAAAAAGGTTTAAAGGGACATATTTGTCATTTATCTATTTTATCCCGGGATTACTATACCACCCAATAGGAGATATAACTTATCTCGATACTAATTCCTAATCCTAGGATAAGTTATCCCAAGCTTAGCAACCAAACAAGGAAATAAAGGGTACTTAAAATTTATCCCAGGATTAACTCCCCTATCCATTACGCCAAACGACCCCATAATGTATTTGTTTATAAAAAATTGATCTAAGTACTAAATATTCTAACGAAGCTCCTTTATTTTTTATAAAAATAATACAAATTAATTATTTTATTTCGACAAAAGTTTATTGTTATTTCTTGTACATAATTGTGATAAATGATTACTAATGAAAATAAAATGAAGGCAATAGGTAGGAGATTTTGAATAAGGATTGGTGTGTGTGGGATGATTTACTAACCACACTACTACTATACCAGGGCCTTTAGAAGAGATTACTTCCGGCTAGCTTTTTTCTCTAACCCTAAACAATGAATGATAGGACAGGTTAAGATAATTGAAAAAAAATTCACTTTTAGTAATCTAAGGTAGGTCAAGGGCTGACGGGCCCACTAGAATTATCTAGGATGAATCTCCCCGATGGTTAGAAATAGAAAGAGTAAATATGATTTTCAATACTTCGCTTATGTACAACTACAAAGTACCAAGCATTCTAATTGGATTAGAGCACTATCAAGACGCTCGATGAAGGAGGTAAGATTTGGAAAAAATTTATAGTGGTAGAGGCACAACCAACAATTTTTTTGTGAGGCTCCATTCTACTTTTGACACTGGATAGTGAACCCTTCTTTTTTTTTAACTTTTTTACCATTCTTCTTCCACTCACTCTTCTTTTTTTTCATTTTCTTTTTCTTTTTACTCCTAATAAATATACAACTCAACTATATAATTAAACAATTGATATAATTAATAAACATGTTAATAAATATTTTTGGTCAAAATAACTGAAAACGTTCTTATGATTGAATATTAAAAATAATTTATCATTCATTTTTATTTTTTTAATCTAAATACCCAATCAGGTTTATTAACCAAAAATAAAACAATAGTACATCAACCAAACCCAAAAGTGGTTCGGGTCCAAAAATAGAAAGAGAAAAGTAGAAATACCTATAACACTAAGGGTGTGTTTGGTATGAAGGAAAATGTTTTCCATCGAACATGTTTTCCTAGAAAATGTTTTCCTGGAAAACAAGTTGATTTTTGACTTATTTTCTCATGTTTGGTTGGTGAGTAGAAAATATTTTCCGGAAAAGATTTTTAGTGTTTGATTTATGAATGAAAAATATTTTTGAGAAATATCTTATATTTTAACTAGAGTAGAAAATAAATTTTGAAATTGAAAATATTTTTTAAAAACAAACTTAATTTTTTTTGGG